TTAGAGACTCCTACGTGGGATGCCATTATGTATATTTTATGCGCGAAATAAAGGAAACACCTTTGCAAGAATTATGTTGTCTCTATTCACTATAGGTCCCGCGGGTTACTGAAATCCACGCGAGACGGTAACACACACGTGCGTTACTACATATTGCCTTTCCCTTTCCTCTCATTACTATAATTAGTCATTTCAAATTGTTTGCGCAGGGGGTTACATAAATTCGTATGTACGCGGGCTACGTGCGATCATCGTTTCGCGATTTATGGTTGCGTGTATTTCGCAACGCGTCATCTCTTGTCTTCTGCGAGACGTGAGGTGAGTCAAGTCGAGGCAAATCATTCGACGAGCAAATGATTTTGCGGATTCCCATGGCAGTGACGTTACATTAGATAAACGAGTTGTGAGAGGCCCGCTGCGGTTCGTCTTCACGCGTCTTAAATTGTCTGACATAGCTAACTGGGTCGGACGAAATACCTCATCCTGTTATTCACATCACTCTCGTCAGATTGTTCTAACGACGCGACGCGCCGTCATTCCATCAAGAGAGAGGAAAACGAGGAAAAATGACACTTAATCATAGCACGCGGGGTATCAGGTGCGATGGAAATAGACGCGCGTAAACCGCGGGATATGCGTCGGGATCGGTATATACGTATACCCGCAGTAACAGAGTAACACAGGCAATTCCAGCCGGTTAGTATCGCGCGAATAATCAGACGCCCGTTGTTGTAGTTTGTAATGAAAGGAGTTATACGCAAAGCCAATTAAACTTTGGTCTGGAAAACGGCTAGCTTCGGGCAAGATAACAAAGGTCAATGGCTAATTAACAACGCATGCAAATTAGGAACGTAATTTCTGTGCGTTACTGAATATCGTAAACGCATTGCATATACTATACAGTATTGTTCTGGGTAAATGACTTGATAACGAACTAGATACGAAAAATCTCTCGCGTCGCAGCTGCAATACAAATGCATACAGATTTTTATCTCCATTAAACAACAAATTACACTAGCTGCTTTATCGCGACTCTAAAAAGTGTTTTAAAATAATTTTGAACAAAAATTTCGTGGAGAGATTATCCAAGATTCAATTTTAATTAAGATTAAAAATGTAATTTTTAATATTTATTACTGGCAAGAATTTTATAAATTATTAATAGTACAATCTTATTGTACATCTACTATTTTTTCGTAAAACATCCGCTATTTTTCCATAAAATATCAGGAGTTTGATAACGGAACGCGACGGTATAAGCCGAAGATGAATCTCTTTCTTTCTGGGGTATTAAGAAATAATCAAAGGGCTGCAAAATAAAAGCGCGATGCAAATTGAAAATGTATAACGTAATATATTATGAGTCACTTTTCATGAATATATAATGGATGAGTCTACGATGAAACGCGAATTCCGTTTCGTCAGCGCGGTGCACGAAGGTTCCGTGGAATACATGTATCCGTGAAAACGGTCTCGCTTGCACTTACATATTTGGTGCAACAGCAAGACGATGGTCGTGTGAAAAATGTAGAAATTAATGGGAAGGCGCCGCGCGCAGCTTAGAAATTACCGGGCCGTTACGCAAGCTAACCTTGAATGGACCATCTTGCTCGAAAAGTAGATCATCAGAGTGATGATAGTGACGGATCACCTGTTAACAGATCTGACTTGCAACCTGACCTTTTGCAGCTGGTACTGATTCCACCGTAGACACGCAACGTCGACTATTTGTTGCGGGAAAGTAGAAATAGACATACACACTTCTGTCACTACCTTTATTTCTCTCTCGGCCAGTATTACCGTATGTGTAGTTAATTGGCGTGCATAATTGAGCTTTACCTATGCATAATGGGGATAACTAACGAATCAGTCAAGCGAAGAAAATCCTATGCAAAGATGATTATATCATGTAGGGTACAGTGAAATTTTACACGCAATTTACGTGACGTTTTTACAACGTTAGTACAATCTGTTACTTTGTAAAAACATTCTGTAACATAAAATAATTAACTATATAAGTTAATTAACTAAAACTAAACAAGGTAAATGAAACATTTTCACAGAGAAAAGCAGAATCTCATAAAAAAATAATGCTTTAAAATGGAATTCTCTTTGCTTGAAGATAAACGTATATAAAACGGAAGTTAATTTCTTATTTTTTTATTAAAAAGATTTATAACGCAGATTGCCGCAAATGTCTTTGAAGTTAAGATAAAAAAATGTATGCTCCGTGCAAAATGCTCATTAGTGACAATTTCAACTCTTGAGAATCGATACCTGTTGCATATCTAATGGCCATGTACACCCACGAAATGTTTTAATGTTTTTTTTTTTTTTTGCAATTTGTTAGCTCGAGACGCGCGCATGTATCTTAGCAGGGGTATCATTCGATGGGCACGACGGAGATGCAACGATGACGAAATTTGTCAGCTCTTCAACTACCGACTGCATTATTGCATCTCCCCGTGATACGATATGGACGATGAAACCCGCTGTCATGGAAAATAGGACGAAAAACGGCGGGCAGCAGATGGTGTAGCCAATATCGCAAGGCGATTTGTGCAATTTCTGTAGATTGTAAATTGCAAATGACCGCGCGTGTTGCGGGATCTTCGGTTAAGGCAACACGTTTGCCTTTGTAAATTTTACGAATCGCAGATCGAACAACGTTCGCCTTATGGCGCCGCTACAAGAATCGATACTCTCTCTCTCTTTCTCTCCCTCTTTCTTTCTCTCTCTCTTCGAGCTTTACGATTGCAATAAATAAAAATGAGCGCTGCAAAATATACCACCGTTGCAAAATATCATACAAGCTGTCTAGTCATCGTGCGTAATGATAGCTTTATAGATTGTTTACGAAATTTGGAGGATTATAAAGACACAGTTATTATACTTAGTTTTTATAGGAAAAGCAGCTGTTTGGGATTAACAGAATTTGATTTCTACATTGTTAAATCTACAGTGTGTCAAATTTCACCTAATTTAAGTCGCCACTGCTCCTACTCAATATATTAAGTATTTATACTAAGACAATGTATAAATTTGACACTATATAACGTCAAATTTATCTATTGTTTCAGTATAATATAATAACGTAATATATTGAGTTAAATTAAATTAAATTTACCATTATAGATTTAACAGTGTGTGCAAATAGTTGCAGCATTAATCCAAGATAAGTACTGAAACTAACATGTGCGATCAACAATAGAGCAATCTTGAAGGTATCGTTAGTCAGAATGCATTTACAATGACGGGTGGCAACATTATGATGAAGCACAATCGGAAAGGCAAACGGGTTTCAATCGGTGCGTGCAACTCCAAACGTCGCGCGATGCAAGGCACGACGCGCAACCGGTTCGCCGGGTCAGTAACTGTCATTGTCAGGGTCTATCCCGGCATACTGTTCGCAATAGACGCATTGTCGAGGCATGTAATTTGACTTCCGCGAATA